CTTCCCTTTCTTGTGACATCACAATGAAAATAGGTGTCATAATGATTGCTGAGCGACTACTCCGACACGCCCTAAAAAACACAGGTGGAAAAACATTGAGCTGCAGCACACGACTCCTCTCCCTTCCAAACACTAGCAACCCTCCAAGCAGTCAATGGACATGAAGTTGTTACTGTGATGTAGAGACAGAGCTCAGTTAAAACTTTATGGATGAAAGATACTTTTGTTACAGATTAATAACTCACCACTCTGAAACTCTTGCTCCAGTCCAAATTGCCAACCTGGTTGGCAACATGTAGTTTACAGCTGAATCGAAGCTGTTTACCGTCTTTTCGCGGACCTGCCTTTCGCTGCTTCTGATTGGCTAGTAGTCCTTAACTAGGAACTGCGTATGTGCAACTCCCAACAAAGATCATTTAGAGACAAGATGTATCACTCCATAGCTAAAATGAAGCCTTCAACACGGGGTGAAAAGAAGAGCTGCAGCAATGTGCAGTATGACATAAAATATGGCGTTTTTTGAAAATGAAACCATGTAAACCTGTTCTGGTACAACCCCTAAATAGGATTTTGAACCTGAAAATGAGCATAATACCACCTCTTTAATCAATTTTGTATTGTTAACCCCTTGACGCCGATTGTCGCAAATTCGCATCACACCTCTTCCTTTCAGACTGCAGCCAAGATAGCGCATGTATTCCCCCAATGCCTATTTGTGCATATTCGACATGTACCTAGGAACCTTTTGCAAGCCCTGGTTTCTCATTTATGCCTGTTGTCGCTAATTTGCATCATACCTACATCATACCTGAATTTATATATTTTCTATGTTCTATAGACAAATTAATAATCTTCACTTAATTTAACATCAGCTTGAAAGCAAATGAAAACACAATTTTTTTTTTTTTTTTTAAATTGTAAAAAAAATTCAGGCGTCAATGGGTTAAACCCCTAGTACTGTAAAAAGCCAGATCAGTGGAGGGTAATCAAGTTACCAGACATTACCAGCCCACTAAGGCTCTTTTTTTCTAATAGTTCTGACACCTCTTTTTTCCAGAAGACACCTTGTTTTTTTTACAGTTTGGAAATTATGTCATTTTGAAAATAACATACAATTCTTGCTTGGACACTTCAACAGAAAACACCTCCTCGCTTGCATAAGAGCTTGCCGGGACAGATTCTGCTAATAATTGACTGGATACGATTCGCAAAACGTAGCACGGCCAGAACGTACCCTGCAGAATCTTTGACACAATAACAATGCTGTAAACACATTACCTCTTAATAGCGCTTTAATAGTGAGGCACTGACATATTCCCCCACTGTCTCCGTTCACTTTGTCTTTTTAAACATCTTGTGTCTCTATCAATTGCCTCAGTCTTCAGTCACTTTCTCTATTCCCATTTTGTACATCCACTATAAACCTTATTTGGAGTAGAAAAAACAACCAATAGTAACTGATTTTAGTCTCTAGATAGAAGACTGCTTATGGTCTTTTGAAGTCATAAAAAAAGGGTACAATACACTTCACATAACAAAGGCATTTAAAATATTTTGTGAAGTGCTTTAGATCTCCCTATTTCCCTTAATGTTCATTTTGCAACCACCATATAGGATACAGCAGCAGGTATCAATCAATTAATCAATGGTCACAAGATAAGTCTGTTGTTTTGCAGAATGCATTCAATTTATTTTTCCCACTTCTGCAGCCAAAGTCCAAACTGCTTCCCTCACACATTCTCTCTTCTCTGGGGACTAATTCCTGTGGTTTATTAGGGGACCAACTGAGTGAAAAGTAAAGAGGTTTAACCTGGGCCTATCCGCCCCATCAGCCAACTGATGCACACGTCACTCGGAACATTGAGCAGTGACAGCTGACCAGACTGGGCCATTTACGACCGCCAGGAAAAAAAAGGAAAGAGGAACTTGATCAAACGTGACCGAGCGGGGGGCAATATTGCCTGACCCTCTGTCAGTCTGTGAGGGTCACACATCTAATTGCGTGCGCAAATTTTTCGGCGCTAGCTGGTGAGAATTATGAGGTAGGGAAAACAACAGATTAGGCTAGCCCATTCGGCCTCGCTGGATCATATAAACAGCCTTTTTTGTCTCCAGGGACAGGCTTCCAGGTTCAATCTAATAATGTGGTGAGGAAATGGGCATTTCCTTGTAGAACACTGACAAGATTACTATATTGAGTCAATTTATTGTAGCATACGCTACATCCATACATACAGTACATCCATGACATAATGAGGGATGGCAGTGGCTTAACGCATCAAAATTAGCTGACCACACCATAACAAATGAACAGAGCCGAACAGCAAATATTTACGTTTAGTTATATCTCAATCACAAGCTCAGTCACTCATACAAGGGGAAACTCAAAAAACTGCATTTAACCCATCCTATTTAGGAGCAAGGGCTGCCATCGTACGGCACCCGGGGAGCAGTTCGGGGTACAGGGTTTTGCTCGGCATTGGTTCGTGGTAGACTAAGTGACCCACCACTTTCCAAGCCAAGTCCCAACAGACTGAGCAAATGCCGCACTGTGTTATAGGAATCGAAGGAGCGGAGAATGATTCTGTGCTTTTGTTCCAGGCGCGATGTGCTCCTCTGGCAGCTGAGAACATCTAAATTTAGACACACCCCTCATCTCCCCTTCCTCTTCTCTAAATCCTCAGCCCCTCCTAGCCTCCTCATCCGCACTTTCCCCTCCATTGTGCTCTCCCAATCACCACGAACACAGAGACATGAAAGCCCCTGTGGTGAAAATATCGACAGCTCTGTCTGCGTCAGACAAGTGTCAGCTGTGCATGAGTGCGCCGAGCTCTTTGTGTGTGTGTGTGTGTGTGTGTGTGTGTACGTGTGTGTGTGCGTGTATTGAGTACCGATGCAACAGCCATCTCAAACTGACGGGTGCCAAAAACAAGTAATGATACAAGACAATTATACAGGATTTAGGTGAGTGTGTGTGCGCATGTGAATGAGTACACTGCCCATTAGCCACATGGTGACCTTGTCAAAGCTGGCATGAGAACATGTAGGCCTATAAAGTGAAACATTTTTTAACTACATTTTTTTATGTCACACTTTCGTCCACATTCCACTTCTGCCCTCCAAAATGGTCTTTTTCTTCTCACTTATCTTTCAGCTTTCGTCCATCTGCCTGGGTCTGTTATATTTACTTGAGACGAATATCCTGAACATTAAAGTACTCTGACTGTAAATGTCTATTTTCTTTCGTCAGATTGACTTGTTTACTTATATTTTCTGAACTCGATCATAACTTTGCTAATTTTAGATTATTTATATAATTTTTTATTTGTATGTTTTTAGAATGTTTTTGTGGGATTTTTTTACTTTTACAGATGATCATCTAAGTATTTACTGTGTTGGCTTGTTTGAGTATAATGTCACCTGGACTCCTCCATCGTTACCTTCTTTACATCAAGAATTGCAATTGAATTGAAGCCCAAGGTGACATCCTCAAATTATTATATTCAGTTTAATATTAAATAAGACCAAAGAAAACTACACATATTTAAAAAGCTGGAAGCAGTGAATTTTTGGCGTATTTACTTAAAAATAACTTAAATGATTATTATTATTAGTCAGTGTTTCACACATATAGACTTGGGCTGGTATATTTGGCGGTCCTTTTTTGCATATTTGCAGAGAAACAGAGAGAGTTGTTATCTCTTATGTTACAAGATACAGACATAGTGAATATTTTACAAGCACAGACCAGGTAAAGCACCACCCAACCCGGCCATAGCCACCGTCCAAGTTCTGTCATTCTGTGGGAAACACTGTAAGTTCTCATATTTATATACATATATAAACTTCAAACTAAGTAAATGAAAAAAGTATCTCTTTTGTATTGCTACTGAAACGCGTATCCTAATCCTGCTACACAGAGGCAGAGAACAACAACCCTCAGATCTTGTAATAAGACTGAATGTTCTCCCAGAACAACATGCACACCACAAAGACAAGCAAACTGACACATGAAGACACTACTATGAAAAGGTTGCACTCCAATGTACTGGAAGGTGAAACAGAATGTGCTAAGAGGGTGTCTTTACCAAGCCTCGGCGTGTGACATGTTTTCCTGTTTCCCACCAGGAGTGAGTGTGCTTGTGTTTGACGCTGAGGAGTAAAATGGGAAACAGTAGTGTTGCAGCTGCACAGCACCTGTAATTATACCCCGCAGGACACATATGAGAACATAGCGCAGCTATCATTGCCATACAGCCATGGTGCATACGAGATGCTACTGCTGCAAACCCACTTCAGAGTTCAACACACAATGACACTCCCAATCGTGTTGCAGGCTTTTAAAAGGGCTCATTAGAATGATAATACCACAAAAAGGTAAAGCCAGTGAGAGCTTGTTGAATAAGATATTATAGGTATTATAACATAGGCAGTGTACCACCAAATACCCTTTGGAGTGGATTATGCTAATGTTATTGTGCATACACTAAAACAATCCCTGTTCTGTTAGACCAATGTTAGCATCCGTTTAACTGTGTAGCTGTAGCAGGAAAGCATTTAATCATTTTAAAGTCATGTGGAATATTTTGAAATGTTAAAGCCAAACCAAGAGGGTAAAGGTGATTAAATGTCTTACCTATTAAAAAATTCCATCTTCATTTGGAAAGGATTACAATTTGCAGCTTTAAATCAAAAACAAAATTGAAACAAAAAGGTTGATATCCCCATAATTTGAAAAATAGAAAATAGACAAAAGCTAAGAGAGGCCCATGGAAGATGGGAATTAGGAGAATGGAAGGAGAGAAGAAAGGAAATGGAGAGGGACGAAAGCAGTCAGATGTCGCACTGACCTAGCTGAAATGATGTGAATGGAAAAAGGACAAAAACGAGAAATATCTTGGGATAGAGGGAATTTGTTGAAAAAAAAAATGGGGTCTCAAAAGTGAAACTTAATCTAACGTGTTTACATCCGACTGAAGCATTTAAAACTGTAAACTGACCTTGCTGGTTGAGCTGCTGCGTGCTCTTGCTCCACTGCGACAACCCCACAATGGCCACCATCTTGGCGCCCAGACTGGAGCGCCGCTTCTTGTTGCCAGCCAGTGATGCGGAGTCTGGGCCCCCACTGCTGGGACTCTTCTCCAGGTTGTACATGGCCCCCGAGATGCTGGAGGAGCGCACTACGTTCCGGGCCGCCGCACTCAGACCGCTAAGGCCGCTCATCCCACCCGGGCTGGGCACCTCCACGGAGCTGCTGAGCATCATGGTCCCGCTAGGACTGGAGGGCGGATGGGCTGGGGGCAGGGGGGAGGTGGGTGGAAAGTTGGAGCGGGTCTGAGGGGAGAAGATGAAAGAGAACCAAAAAAAGGGTGATAAGGTGAGGGTGGAAGTTAGAGTAGAGAGGTTGAGGGATAGAACAGCTTAAATAAAAGGACGTCTTGATGTGCAGCATGTCTGATGAAATACAGAATAACAGCTCGTCTTACAGCTGGACACCAACTTTAAATTTCAACCACAGTTTGGTTTTCAATTAAATTCCCCACTTATTGCAGAGGCAGCAGAAATGACTTCCTACCAAAGACAAATAAAAAGTGAGAAGCTCTGCAAAGTCTTTTTGATCTCAACTAGTTTTGCAAACTGAGAAAACAGAGAACACAAAGGTCAGCAGACGAGGACGGTGCAGATGGCAGCAGACTGTTCAAGTGAGTTAAGAAATACCTCCAGTCACACGCACAAACACACACAAATGTCAGGGCTGGCCTGCTGTTGAAGGGGTGACCCTGTCAGCTGGTATTTGTCTCCTGTGTTTTTTCTTGGAATCTTATTCCGTGTCTGACCTTAAACAGTGACAGATGATAAACTCTGCAGCTCAAGTCATCATCCTGGGAGGATACCGATGTGTGTGAGAGTGTGTGTATGTTTTTCTTTGATAAACTTTGTAATATCTAATGCTAGCACGCACCACACTTTGGTTACAGCTCACACTACTGGCCTTTACACAGGAGACATTTTGACTTTTGGAAAGCACAGGTGTTACCAATAACATTAATGATGGCTCTGTTCTGTTCAAATTTCCAGTAAGACATGACAACATGAACAATACCAGGACTGATACTGAAGGAATGGAATTCGCAGTGAAGTTAGTTTTAAAACTTGTAGCATAATAGCATAAACAAGGAGAGTGAAGTTTACTCTGAAATGGGTAATACTGAACAGGAGGACTCAGACCATTGAAGCAAAAATGAGGAGCTCATACCTAAGAGAGAAGTCTGTTGTATGGACGAGCCACACAACACTAGACCAGCAGTTCCAGCCATGATTTGTGTGTGTCAGGTAACATTTAATGACTTGTTTTCTAGTTCACCAAGACATGCTGTTGTTGCGATGTTAGCTATAGCAGCAGGAGAGTTTCGGAGTATTGCAGCTCAGAGCAGGTGTGCTGACTCTGGGACTGTCTCATCCTCGCTACAGCAAGTAGCGTCAATGTCTCTGGTAGCGTCAGTTTGCTAACCCACAGCCTAGCTAACATTAGTTACATTACTTGCCGTGTCGATGTTCACTCTATACCATTTGTCATGGTATTGGATTTCTCTAGAATTGCATACCCCACCTTCACGATGCAGAGAAATATTATTAATTACTGTTGGAAATTCCAACAGTAATTCCTTCATTCCTTTCCTTCTCTCCTTTCTTTTTCTCTCTCCTAACTTCAGAGTGATAATACTGATGCTAAACCGACAGCCCAGGGGCACATTAAATATGCAGATGCACTGCGACCCACATCGTGCTTCCACACTGCTTTTTAATAGTTCTCTTTCTTCACTTCCCCGCATCCATAAAACTCCTCTTTACACCTGCTTTCTTACTTAGTTAATCACTATGACCCCTGCTGTAGGTAATTTTTCGTCTTCTATGGGGTTTTTTTGTGTCTTTTTTTGCTGCACATAAAGTACAGTGATGCAGTCTTTTGCCGTCTCAGAACCTACTTAACAAGTGCCATGCAACATTTTTAGTTCCACCTAAGCCTATGCTAGCAGCTTTGTGAACTGTAGCCTACATAGGAACAGTGTTGCTTTAAGCTAAATGCTAACTACAGCATGCTAACAATGACAATGTTAATATGCTAACGTTTATCAGGCATAATGTTTACCATGTTCCCCCTCTTAGTTTACTGTTTAAGCATGCTAATTAGCATTAGCATGACTGATGGGAATTTGGTCATAAACCAAAGTATTGAACAAATAAAAATTTTACCTGATGACAGTGCCATAAGGAAACAGGTACAGTAAAATTTAAGGTAATCAATTGGTTGTTGAGAGATCATGGACCCAACTCAGCATCCCTCGTTGCTATCTCTAGCATCATGCTTCTTCTAATGACTGAAGGACAATCAGTTTTACATACTCCATCACTGATGGCAGGGAATGCTGTACAAATTCTTTATGCAGTCAAAACGCTCTCAGCCGTGACTGGAAATCATAAATGATTCATAATACATATACAGTACAGTGAATTTGCCCTTAATACGTCTTTTGAATTGAAGACTCAAATGTAAATGCCCTGTGCTTCAGATGTCTCTGTAAATCATCATCATTGCCCTGCTTTGTCACGCCACCACAACTATGACGCTTACAGCTCAAAAAATGTTGCTGACCGTCTCTTTTTGTAGGGATGCATTTAGCATTACAACAATAACCGAAGTCGGTGCTGTTGAGGAACGCTGAACTGATGTAGCAAAGGGCAAGTTTTGGCATTTTGTAATGAAACTCTATAATAATAGCCAAGTTGGAAGAGGTGGCTTTGTGCAGAATTATTGCAGTGACATTTGTTATGACCGGAAAAGTGGAGTATGGAGGGGAAAGAAAGGGAGACAGAGGGGAGTTAGGAGCTTGAAATATGAATCAGTTAAGCCTATATGCTTGTATTCATCCCCCTCTCTTTTTCTCCGTCTCTCTCTTCCTTGCTCATCCTCTTTTCTATTCCAGCCCATGCGCACTCTGGGAGGGCTCTGTACTTTGAACACACAGCGAACCGAGCAGGAGAAAATGAGGATTGGGAGGCATAGAGGTGGCTGCTGAGAGAAGGGAGATGAACAGAATAATTCTGCTTTCAGAGATCCACAAGGGCCGAGACGAGCAGGTGAGGGAAGACAAAGGACAGGAAGACAAACGAGGGACGAGAGGACGCTTCATAATGATGGACACAGACAAAGGAAAGGGAGAAAAATATGACGCTGATAATGAAAGCAACCTAGACATGCATCCTTTCCTCCTTTCCTCTTGATGATGAGATCCTCAGTCTCTCAGTCTGCCTCTCTGCCTGAAGACATGCTCCAGAGTGAAGTTCAGTGCACTGGTTTCACATCCACAAGTTTCACTGCTTAGTTGTAGAAAGTAGTAAAAAAAATATTTGATCTACTTAAAGAAATAGTTCGACATTTTGTGTTGAAAAGTCCAACTATCAGCACTTCTGGTTCTTTCCAGTCCTTATGTTAAGCTAATCTACCATCTTCTGGCTCCAGCTACATATCTACTGTACAGATACGGGAGCGGTATCAATATTTTCATCTAGCTCTCTGCAAGAAAGTGTATTTTACAAAAAGCTCAGTATTAACTATTATTTTAGCTGGATATGTTCATGGGCCCTGCGATGGACTGGCGACCTGTTCAGGGTGTAACCCGCCTTTTGCGCGATGACAGCTGGGATTGGCTCTAGCCCCCCCCGTCCCTGTATGCAGGATAAGCGGTTGACGATGGATGGATGGATGGATGGATAAGTTCATGGTCAAAACCAAACATTTCCCAAAGCCTCACCTGCATTTAGTAGTCTTTCACTCTCTAATATCGGCAGTTGAAAATGCCACTATGTACCTGTACCCACACTGGACCCAAAAGGTACACCCGAAGCCCATCTATCTTCATCTCGGTGCCCAGACAGATCCCCTGCCCTATGTCTATGTGCTCTCTAACTTCTCGTCTCAGAGCTCATTTATTTCTCCTCCTGTCAGCAACCCCCCCCTCCACCCAGTGTGGTGGCTATCAGCTCCTCCCCCGCACCTCTTGGTTGAGAGCTGTTGCATGGTCTGTGTGGAGAGCTGGATTGGTTAAAATAGGAGCATATCTGTTCAGCAGACGCACCATTGTTTGAGAGCAGGAGAGCAAAAAAAATGAAGAAAAAAAGGAACCTTTCCTTAGGTTCAATGAGGTGCAAAGAAGGGCATAGTTACCTTCAGATGCTAGTGCAAACAAACACGGCACTCAGCTTTGTGGCAATTTCAACTGTACAGATTCAACAAATGTGATCAAATGTGTTAAGAGTTTTGGAGGTGCTGCTGTCCTTTGTACAAAGCCAGGCAAGTTGTTTTCCTCTGTTTCCAGTCTTTGTGCTAAGCTAAGCTAACTGGCAGCAGTCGAATATTTAACAGACAGATATGGGCGTGGCATTGATCCTCTCATGTAACTCTAGGTAAGAAAGTGAATGAACGTATTTCCCAAAATGTCAAACTATTTCTTCAACAATTCACAGATCATTTTTGGTAGATATCAGTATTTCACAGACAAGAGTCTTCCCCAGTGTATGTTCGCAGGCTAGAGTGTAGAAGCCCAAGATACATGAACTTGAGTGAGAATCTATCAAGCATGACTGTCTGCGGTCAGTGTTAGCTGAGGCAAAGCAGAGAAGGATAAAAATGTGATCTCTCCTTTCTGTTTCTCCCATAAACCCAAATGCCACAATCTTGTAATCAGATATGGCTGAGCGATACAAGTTGCTCTCAGGTATGCAGGTCATTGCCACTGGTGGCCACTTAAGTAACCTACAATTTAGCTGCACAATAGATGGCAAAGTTATACTATAGGTCTGAGAGTCATGCAAACACAGAAAACAAACAGTATAAAGCCAAGGTTAGTAATGCTGATAAACATCAATGTGAACCAATAAACAGTCAAATCTTTCTTATTGTCTTTTTTAATTGGTTCTTAATCATTTCTAATTTGTTTTTACTTATTGCCTCCACTTATTGCTTTTACTATTGTGTCTTGATCGTTTCTTGTGTTTGCTGTTGGATGAGTCTGCATTTATGTTTTTTTGCCATGTGCTTTTGGCTGCAGCATGTCAAATTTCCCATGTGGGACAATAGAAAGTGAACTGAGCTGAATCATAGCAACAATAACAGGAGAGGAAAAAAGTATCTATCACCAAAGTACTGTTGGTCATTTGTCGTCGGTCAAATGTTATTTAAATTCCAAATAATCAGCACCTTACCCTATTGATTGAGATCTGTTAAGTTGCTATTTGTGGTTATTGGAATGACAATCATTATTTACTATGAAGAG